TTTGACCACAGGAGGATGCACAAAGATGGTGGGAATAGCATCTGGTCTCAGCCTACTACTCTATACATTTTTGGTCATGACAAATTAGTTTGCCTCAATGTGCCTGGATAGTCACTTTAGTTTCTCCACACACAATTTTTTTTTTTTTTTTTTAAAACAAGTTCAGATTTCATCCGTGAACTTCATACGCTGCACAAAAGTCCGCCACCATCAATGAATTCGAAGTAAAGGCAGAGATAGCAGCGTTACCTAGCTACTTCCTGTGACTAGACCCCTGTTCCAAGATGGCGGCGGTTTTGACGCATGCTTAGAACCCCCAGGTGACGTCTAGTGTATATGTCTATGGTATACATACAGGAGCCATCTTAGAAAATAGACTCGATAAGTTGAACCCCGAACGCCGTTCATACCATAGACATCATATAAGTAGACGCCCTATCGACCGCTACTGCCTATTGGCACGGACGAGAATTGGAGCCGCCATCTTAAACCGGTCATCCGCTCCGCTCAGTGTATTCTGAATGGCAGGTGAAATGAGCTGTCAGCGCATTAAATTAATCATATCTCACTGATTTTCACGCGGTTTTTTTTGCTGCAAAGGTCATTCATGTAGCTATGATACAGGACACATGGTTCGGCGTATTTTAATATCCATTGTAGGTTAACAGTAATATAATATTCTGATATAAGATATAAAGTGACCAGACACAATATATGTGATGAAGGATATAGTGTATTTTATAAATCACACACTATAAATATAATAAAGAAGCAGAAACAGATAGTAGCAGTAAAGTAAGATATTTTAATAAGTTGAAGAAACAGTTTATGATTGACACACGCACATACACATACATACACACGAACAGACACACACTCTCTTTCTCGCTGTCTCTCTCACTCTCTCTCACTCACACACACACGCACACACTTTCATCAGTAACGTTAATTTCTAAAAATTAGCTAAAAATTAGGCTATACCTTATTTTATTCTATGTGGATGTAGGAGGGGAAAATGTCGAGACTAAAGCCATATTCGGATTAACTTTACAAGGGTAGATGGAGTAAGTTAATGTAATTTTACCACAGGACTTCTGTAATATCAATAGCCAAATCACATGTGGTAAGATATAGGTTATCAATAAAACTAAAAGTTGTAGAGGTAACTCAATTTGCGCATCGCTGTCATGCGTGTATATTACGTTGCTTCCTGATGTGCGCAAACACAAATAACCTATACAACAGGGCAGTTGAATGCTTATCTGACAATCTAGAAGCTTTTGTAATTATTACTTTAACAGTTACCCCACCTCTCCATGCCGGGTGAACACCGGCTGATGCAGTAAACAGCATTTCACAACGATTTCAGTACAGTAATAGCAAGTATCCTTGCTCCTTCTCGATTATCTGGTAATATTCTATTCACAAAATACAACCAATAGTACGGTAATTTTAAGACTTACTTGTGAAAAGCCCTATTTTCGGTGGTCCGGCGATTAGAACAGGAAAATGCTCCACAGTGCTCTGGCATCTTATCTGCTGCCACGCAACGAAACCAGGAATACGACCGGTTCAAGATGGCGGCCGGATTTCTCGTTTTCCAGCGGCCAATAGGGTATCTAGTCTCTATATGATATCTATGGTTCATACAGTTCAGTAGTTCGCTGAACTTCATACACTTCAGATCACTCAGCACGTCGTTCGTAGTTTGTCTTGTCGTGACTCTTTTCCAAAGATGGCGCCGCCTGTATACACGAAGTGCACTGTCTTTATAAAGTATCTTTTTAAACGGTCTGTATACTTACAACGTTCTCAATACTTCGTTTCGCATATCTGGATCTTCATTATGTTACTGTGTTAGTGTGGGGCTATTTTGAGCCTTGTTAGTGGTATAAACTAGCGATTTCTTTTTACTTAGTAAATGCTACCAGTAAATGCTACCATTATACGCTAAACAGTTTTTGGAGATAAAACTCTTTACATTTGATAAGATGTTTTATTAGACCAAAGGTTCATTTTGCACCGGAGTTCTCCTTTAATATCCAAATACATTCAGTGGCACAGAAGGAAATATACAGTCTATCTAACATCATGATTAGAAATACAAAACTATTCGTATTAAAATTACTAATGTTTGTGCAGACACTGATGTAACAAAGCTTTCTGCTCTTACCAGTCATGCTATCTGTTATATTTACGCTGTTGCTCAGAATGAGAGGCAGGCTGATGTTTGTGAATAGACTTCTAACGTAGTTCATCAGGAACAAGTCAAAGAATCTCATATCAATGTCAATCTCGTAGTTAGAAGAAAAAAAAAAAGTAAATCTATGTACCTTCACTGTCAAAAACAGGTTTTTCTTGATGCCACAGCCTTCTTCTGGATTGTTGTTGTGTTGCTGTATTTTAATGAAAGTTAGTATCAGCCGACACCGATTCAGATTATTTTTATACACCAAATGTCCAATTGACCGTTCGCAAAAGCCATTGCCCCCTAGTTATTGTTACTATCCCCGTCAAACAAATGGTCAAACAACACCAGCGGGAACAAACACGACTACTGTCATATAGATTGTCTCTGCTACTGTCGAGGCGAATACTTATAGACCATTTCACAAGATGTAAACAACACTGGTCCAGAAACACTTCCTGTTTCAGTTTGTAACTGTTTTCTTTATTTCAAATGTAAAGAAAACATCTTAAAGATGTTGGTTTAACTTTTTGATTCTGTTTTAAATGTTCTGTTGGTTGTATTTTATCCCAGCTTTTATATACTGTTAAAAAACTGAAACAGGAAGTGCTTCTGGACCAGTGTTGTTTACGTCTTGTGAAATGGTCTATACCGGTCTCAAGCGAAATCATGAGAAACCACATGACCTGCACTTCAAATGCAACCAGCACAGCCTTGAAGATTTTATAAGCTGGTTCATTGGCTAATTGTCTGGAGTTAAGAAATACATAACTCGTGCATCATATTTAGTAATTTTGCCTCAGATACAGGATTATACATTCACTTTAACAAGGTTGTTCATTACCACGGCAACCCCAATAGAACCCCATATTCTGTATAGAACCCCAATGAACCCTTTTTTCTAAGAGTGTACTTCATGTACCTTGCCACTGCTATGCTGTAATAAACTTAATTTTTGAGATCTTCGTCGCCCACTTCATTTTTTCTTACATGCATGACTCTACTAAGGTCATTTCCAGTCTGACCATGGCACACTTAAACTCCTCGGTTAAAGCAAAGACTGGCAGCTGTAATGTTCCTTTACTATAAAGTCCCACTCTGCTAAGGCAGCGTGGAACACCCAAACTTATTATTAAACTTAATTAACTTATTAATTAAACTTATTTAACTATTTAACTTATTAAAGATTCCAGCTTATCCACTGTTGTCAAAACAAAAATTGTGCACAGTCAGTGGCCAACCTTGGCAGTAGACCAAACTGAAAGGGCCAGAGTTTTAGTTTGCTTGGTAGAGCACAGTGGTTTATGCACAATATACAGATAATGCGTGCATGTAAATTTTGTCTCCATTCTCCTGCTTCTGGCCTAACAATAATATATTCAATTGACAGAAGTTTAGTTTAAGAAGTGAGTTAGGTTTTATTTTGATGTATAGTATTTGGTATGCTAGCAGGTGTAATCTTTTTGCAGTCGTCTTAAAATCACTGATAATTTGGGGTGATTTTCCATCTTCTGTGCATTATCTTATAATATAAAAATGATACTAACCATGGGTCCTACAAAATTCATTCCAGTTCAAAACAAACACACACACAAAATAATGAACAAAAAGACTTATATCTGCTGTTTTTTGGCAGGTTTGTCAGTTTAACAACTGTGTTCAGAGCAACGTACCATAACAGAGCATAACCTTGATGGCCCTGTTACATGTGAATGATTACTGAGGTAAATAGTTTTGAAATAAGAATGCTGTATGTCAGGATTTTTGTCATGTCTCTTAATTTCCTTCTTCTCCCAGAAGAAGGCATGTAGCCGAAACGCGTTGGAGTTTTAGATGGTTAATTTGACCAAGCCATAATAATAAGGCTTTTTAACTTTTCCACTTGAGAGTGCCTTGGAGTTCTCTTGCTTTATCCGTCATATACTATGAAATGTTTACTGTGTGTCATTCATGTTCTGAATATGTTGCTTCAGTAGCATTTACTTAAAATCTTTAGTCCAAGATTGTTGTATAATACAATTTGCCACTGAATTAGTTTAGTCCGGTTATAGTACTATGTACAACCGCGAACAGCACATGTTTTCCCTGAGCTCCGTAACGTCATCTCTCATAAAGGTTTGCGATTTAGTTTAAATAGTAAAAAAAAAATATCCGAAATACACCTAGCCTCTTTGCTAAATAGCACACAAAATACCATTGGTATGATACTTCCACCGCCTGACTGGAAGCTGTGCCCACTTTAGTTTTTACAGTTGCGGCCCCGGAAACAGGTGGAGACCTTTATGTGTAGGCCTACAGATGTGAGGTAATGACACAAAGACATGCTCGAATCTCCCGTGGAAATCCACCAGTACCGCTGAAATTAAAAACATTATTACAAGATTACCGCTTTGAATCGAGCTAAGGCAAGCAGATAGTTTTGAACACTGGCTGGTTATGTTTTTTTCAAGTTAGGGTTAGGGTATGTATTTTCTCAAACATGTACCACCAAAAAGCTACGGACTGGGGCTATTTAAATATTTAAATCTGTTTATTCTCAGCTGTTCAGATATGATACAGTTTTGCTTTGTTGATTGAATTTCAGAGACAAGGCCTGATTAAAGTTTTTAACTGTGAAATTCTCTTTCCATAATATACCAGTAATGAATATTTTTTCTAAGGGTATCTGATTATGTGATATTATAGCCCACAAGACCTTACACTGTTTCTTTTTAAACTCAGCCCACTTACTTCTCTGTTCTTTTCACACAAGAGAACAAGGAAATAATAGACAGAATTAAACTGGTCTAGCAGGTGATCCACGCAGTCACATTATTGCGGTGACATGCACAAAGACATGTTAATTCCAGGAAGATTTTGGAGGTGGATCATTTGACAAGGAAACAAAATCTCAGACCCTGAGAAACGAGTTCGGCATCTCTTCATGATTGTTTCCAGAAGTAAGGTCAGTGTGACGAATTAATGTTTTAACAGCTTGTTTAAACAGCTTTAAATTTCCTTTTTGAAGGAGGTCTTTCATAGAAAGCCTTGACTTTAAAATGTGCTGTTCAATGCTTTACTTTTGAAAGTTGTCATTACTGTCAGTCATTAATATAAACGAGCAGAAATTTGACCTAAATTTAGGTGTGCTATTGCTGTTGACTGGTGCCAGCTAATACTTATTTGTGCTTGTGTCATTGTAATTTATTATGAAACAATCCTTTTTATTGCAGGTTACTGTTCCATTCCATTAAATATTTGACCCTCATGTAGATATTTAAGAATTAATGGATAGAACGGTCAAACATTATAGTTTTTAAGAAATGTAATTTTTAAAGTCACGGAAAATAATGTTATCACAATTTCTGCTTATTTGTGACAAATAGCACAGAGATTTTACTGTTTTGAGCACTGGAGAGAACAAAAGACCTTAAACATCTTCAATCAAAATGTTGTCTTATCATTTTCCACTGATTATCTATGACATAATTTCCTATTTTACAGATATAAGGTGTCTGGATGAGCCATATCATTGCCCTTTGTTCTGAAGGAATATGCTGAAGTGACTTTGACTAACATACATCAATGAGAAACATGGCCACTCAAGGTACGATCAACTAAATTATTTTTGGTTCACTGTACTACGTCTGTCACAAAAATGCTGTAATGCAAGTCATTTTAGTCAATTATCCTTTAGGAAACCACCTTTAGGTTTTAGATCTTATATAATGCTAAAAAAATGTTTTACGATATCTCACAAAAAATGGAGAGAATATGGCGCTCTTACCCTGCAAAAATGCTCGCTGTTGAAACTATGAGTTTACAAATTTGCATTGAAGACAGAATTCAAGCAGTATATTTCATTATGTTTTCCAAAACTGTGCAAGTAAATGTTTGGTTTTTCTGACATCTCTTTATATGCTAAATTTTTATGTGTGTGTTTTATTTCTCAATTTCTCAAATACAGGAAAAATATTAAAGTACTTTGCAGGAATCATAATGACGCTCCTGTTGACCCATGAATGTGTTGTGGAAACACTTGATTTCCCAGAAACAAGTATAGATTTAGAGGTAGGATAAGGTTTTTTTTTTTCACTGTGGGAACATAACACAAATCATGTACTGTATGCAAAACAACAGATTCCTGTCTTTTTAACATTAACTTGCTGTAACAGTTTTCACTAATAATGAAATAGTTTTGTAACCATCAAGAGTACTTTTAAAATGTTTAACATGAAATTTAGTAGGCTACATAAAACAAATGTATTGTATAGAGCCATGGTCCAGTGTTATTTTAGTTTTATTATTGTTGTTTTCATATTTTGAATGTGCATTTATTTTTAATTTTTTTTTTTTTAGTAAGTTCCTTATGTGCTTTTGTCTTTTTATTTGTTTTTCTTTAAATTTTGCTATTTAGGTTTAATTTAATGTAATTTTTTTTGTTCATTTTTAATTATTTCTAGCTGTTAAAGCAACATTTCTAGTTTCCATTTAGTTTGTTTTTCATCTAATTTATATTTTATTTTATTCATTTAGTTAATGGTATTAACCTTATCATGGTCACATGATCAACTCACATGATAAAAGTTTATATATAAATAGATGCATGTATTTTTGTGTTGTTTTATTTTTACAGTTTAGCTACATTGATGGGCAACTGCATCATAGATTACCAAGAAGCGCAGGTCGGATTCACTATTTTGTCGTCTTCTCACACTGTTATAATACTTTTTGATGTTATATTTATATAAGAATCAAGACGCTTTAACCTAATATGCTTTGTTATTTTTATCTGGGATTTTGTCTGTCAATGGTTTTGTCTTGTCCTTTCCTTCAAGAGTAAAGGCCTCCTTATGACCCCATGATGATTAAAATCTCATTCATTTTCTCATATGTATAGAGCTATTGGAGTTCATTGTGGTTATTGAAGTGAATGCATCCCAAGCTGTGGTGATTGAACAGATCAGAGCGTCATTGGCCTCCATCACATTCCCTCTTCAATTGGACAACAGTACTGAAATTACTGCTGCGAACATCACAACAGGTGAGCCAGTTAAACCAGATCAAAAGCTATTTATGTAATCCTTGCTGATCCATTATCATCTTTAATGTTGTGCAAACATTCTGTTGTTAACCAGTTCTGTTATATTTACATTAGTGTGCCAGCCAAATGTGACCGAATACCAGTGCGTATGTGAAGATGGTTATGCATGGACATACAACAACTGCAAGTCATATGAGGCCTGTGATGACATCAGTCTGGGCTCATGTGGATGTATCAGTGGTATTCCGAGTGATGGAGAGATGTGTGTGCTGGAGAGCGGTAAGAATCATGACCAAACAAGTCAACTGCAAATGTACTCTAAAAAGCTCTATTAAAGTAAAACGAAACTGTTAAATGCATATATAGTAAAACATATACAGTAAAATGTATAATTTTGCATATAAATTAGTGAAAATCTGTATTTTATTTAACAAGACAATATACTGTAAATTAGAAAAAAAGTCTATTAACATCTGTTGGAACTACTTTTGATTTTTTTTTATGTATTTCACATTGCTATTGATGATATAATGAATTAGCCTGCATAAACATGTATATTGTAATAAAACATACAAAGTACAATAATATGCTTGTTGTCTCTGCCACAGAACTGCCCTTCACAGACTTATTGTTTGAAATCGAGATGGAATCATCAAGCATCTCCGTGATCGATGAGATGAGGAGATATTTTCAGAACATGACCTTTCCACTTCGGTTAGATGAGCTGGTTGAAGTATTAGATGTGGACATCACAACAGGTGATCATCAACATCACATGACCTTCATGAGCTTCTGAACACAAACACAGCAGCTCTGATCTGTTAAAAATGACCTTACGCTTATGTTTTATCCTTTCTAAGTGTGCAATTTCAATGACAGTGGATACAAGTGCGTATGTGAGGATCAGTATTTCTGGCCGTGTGAAAAGTGCACAGAATATGGGAGCTGTGATGACATCACTAACAACACATGCAGCTGCATCAATGATATTCCAACTGATAGACAGTTCTGTCAACCTGTCAACGAGATAACAAGTAAACTTGTTTTATACATTTCTGTTCGCAATCACACAGAAGTCCTCAGTTATTGTTACAGATTATTTCTAATCCATTCTCATCCTTTTCCTGGAAGATAACACTACATGTGGGAAACCACCAACAGGTATATAAAACATCTGATTTAAATCCAGAAGTCCATATAACTGAATAATTTTCATGCACGTTGGAAGAGAAGAGTGAATATTCTCTTTTTACTTTTTATCTTTGCTACACTCCAGTTCCAGCTGAATATCTAACTGAAATTCAGATAGATGCCGAGAATACTTTCATCATTGATCAGCTGATGAGCTATTTGATGGCTTTCAGTTTTCCATACAAAGTCAGTGACAGCACTAACATCACAGAAATCAACATAACTACTGGTATGAACTCTGTGCTTTGGCTTGTACTTTATACATCATATATACTGCTAAAATTAATGATAGACTTGTGGATTCTGCTTTTCAGTGTGTTCATTGAACCAAACTCAGTATCAGTGTAAATGTGAGGGTCTGTTTGTTTGGCCAAATGACACGTGTCACTCATACGAGACCTGTGATGACATCATTGATGGTTCATGTACATGTATCAATGCACTTCCAGTTAATGGACAGTTCTGCCAGTTAAAAGAAGGTGAGCCATTACATTAAATCACCAGTTAACATTTTATAGTTGACTTTTGATTTGTAACAACCCAATGCAACTAAATTTCATGGACAGTGATTTCACACTTTTAATTTAAGCACACTTTTAATCTTGGTAACCCTTTACAATAACAGTAATAATCATGTATTAATACCTGAATTAATAATTACTTTACTATGAACTAATGATGAGTTAAGAGCTCTGTCTGCTCTGTTCTTCTCCAATATATAACAGTATGGGTTTCATAACCCAAAACATAGATGGAAATGAAATTTTTAACAAAATATTGGCAATGGATATAATAATGGATATAATTTTTTATATTGGTAGTCAAATGATCATATAGATTTTGTGTAAAAAAGCAGAAATCACATAAAATTAGTTCAGTGTATCAGCAATTGGACACTGGTGTATGAAAATAATGTGAATCAGAATTGGCTGATCTCTATTGCAGAGTAAGAACTCTTATAAAAATACAGCAACACAACAACATTCCAGAGGAAGGCCGTGGCTTTAAGAAAAACCTGTTTTTTTTTTTTGTTTGTTTTTTTGCAGCACCACCTTCTAACTATGAGATTGACATTGATGTGAGATTCTTTGACTTGTTCCTGGTGAACTACTTAAGAAGTCTAATCATGAACATCAGCCTGCCTTTGACTCTGAGCAACAGCATAAATATCACAGATATCGACATGACTACTGGTGAGAGCTGAATGTTTCATCACGTCACATACTAAGATGAGTTCAGTATCAGGACAAATTGACAGTTTGAGCGCAGATGAATAAATCCTATTCTCTTACAGTGTGTGGGTTAAATGGAACACAATATGAGTGCAAGTGTGAGGAGCGTCATGTTTGGCCCAATGACACCTGCAGGGCCTATCATGAGTGTGATGAGATTGTGGGGGGCACTTGTGGATGTATTCAAGCTCTCCCTTCAGAGGGTCCGCTTTGCCAGAGAGGTGAGAAATCACATTAGATCACAATTGATTTTACTCAGTGACACTTGACATGTTTTGGTGGTTTATAAAATTGTAACATTTATGCAATAGCTTCTCACTATTCTTTTTTTCTTTTTCAGACATCAATGAATGTGAAGATGCAGTGTCAGTTTGTGGTCAATACTCAGACTGTATTAACATCATCGGGAGTCACAAGTGTTTATGCTGGAGTGGATTTAATTCCTCAAATAAAGACAGTCCTGTGAGCCGCAACAACTCATGTCAGGGTGAGTATTTTCAACTGATTTTGTTTTCTATTTTTATCTCATAAAATTGAGAGTGCAGAGCTGCTATATCTTTACAGTTTGTGTGAATACTAGTGTGAGTTTTAGCTGTTCCTGTTAAATGTATTACATCACCCAACAATTTTTTTTTTATATATATTTTCCCGTCTAGGAAATATAATGTGAATAATTTTGTTTAAATACACAAAGTCTTTCATGTCTTTAGCCTCTTTGCCTTATTTAATACAGTAAAAATAATATATATATATATATTTATATATATATATTTTTATTTGTCAAATTTTTCCCCCATAGATATAGACGAATGTCTGGTCAGTCCATCTGTATGTGGTCCAGATTCCAGCTGCACAAATGAAATAGGAAGTTACAGTTGCTCATGTTTGAATGGATTCACTGTAACAAACTCAAATCTCACCATCAGCATCAATAACCCGTGTAGAGGTAAATCCTATAATTACATTTATTTATAGTCTAAGTTTGAAAAATAATCTATTGTAATTTTTTAGACATTTAATTTTTCAGTGAAATTATTTTTAACAGTTTGTTGTTTATTTAACAGTTGAACAGCATTTTTTTCAACTGTTGCATACACAATTGTATGCATCCTCTATTTATAAAGTAATAAAAACATAGGAAAATATAGATTTGTGTTAAAGTGATATTCATATTTCAGTGTTCCTAATAAAAACAATACCCTTTTCATATCTTCCTGTAATATAGATGTCAATGAATGTCTAAATACATTAGAGGTCTGTGGTCCAAACTCTCGTTGCAACAACTCATTTGGGATTTACAACTGTTCCTGCTTGATTGGGTTTACTGTAACAAATATGAATCAACCAATTAGCACCAGTAACCCATGCAATGGTAAGCATGTAGAAAATATACTTCATCATGATGTATTTAATTTACATTGTAAGTAGATTTGACAGAAATATCAATTAAATCTATTATATGGTTTGGTGTTTGTTTATGTTATTTATGTTTTCAGCCTTGATAAAAGCTGCTGAAATACATAATCGAGTTAAAAACTATTGAATGAAATCCTGAATGGTTGAAAAATCTGTAAAGTGTTTCCTTTGGGAACTTCGATTATTGTATTTGTAGATGGAAGGCGTAGTCATAATTTCTGGATGTTTTTATCTCTTTTTTCTACAGTGACTCTACCTTTGACTGAATATCTGATTGAAATTCAGATCAATAGTGTGGATAGTAGCGTCACTGATCAGCTGAGGACTCTTCTGATGTCTTTTAATTTGCCCTACATAATCAGTGACAGCACTAACATTACAGAAATCAGCATAACTACTGGTACGAGCTCTGTCTCTGCTTTGTAATGTTAAATAGCTGAGAATAAACTTCATACATCACGAGTACTGACATACATTATTTGATGTTTGGACTCTTCTTTTGCTTTTCAGTGTGTTCATTGAACCAAACGCAGTTTCAGTGTAAATGTGAGGGTCTGTTTGTTTGGCCAAATGACACGTGTCACTCATACGAGGCCTGTGATGACATCACTAATGGTTCATGTACATGTATCAATGCCCTTCCAGTGGATGGACAGTTCTGTCAAGGTGAGACACTGGCGTCATTCTACGACAACATCAGTTTTATCCCTTTGATTAATTTCAGTTTTTTTCTGCTTTGATTTTACTGCATTTTGCTACTAGGATTAACAAACTGATTATGTGCTTGTTTTTGTTTGCAAATAACTCTGTGTAAGACACATGGTCTATTGTATGGAGTTTTGTCATGAAGATATTAACAACAAATTGACGTTCTTTTAAATTATAAAGCTTAGACTACAAAGAATGTCATTAAAAAACTGACATTTTTGTTATTTTAGAAATGTAATTAATTGCATGAATTGTTCGGCTCAACCTGCTTCTGTTTGTTCTTGCAGTGCTGCCTTCTAAGTACATGATTGACATTGATGTGAGATTCTTTGACTTGTTCCTGGTGAACTACTTAAGAAGTCTAATCATGAACATCAGCCTGCCTTTGACTCTGAGCAACAGCATAAATATCACAGATATCGACATGACTACTGGTGAGAGCTGAATGTTTCATCACGTCACATACTAAGATGAGTTCAGTATCAGGACAAATTGACAGTTTGAGCGCAGATGAATAAATCCTATTCTCTTACAGTGTGTGGGTTAAATGGAACACAATATGAGTGCAAGTGTGAGGAGCGTCATGTTTGGCCCAATGACACCTGCAGGGCCTATCATGAGTGTGATGAGATTGTGGGGGGCACTTGTGGATGTATTCAAGCTCTCCCTTCAGAGGGTCCGCTTTGCCAGAGAGGTGAGAAATCACATTAGATCACAATTGATTTTACTCAGTGACACTTGACATGTTTTGGTGGTTTATAAAATTGTAACATGTATGCAATAGCTTCTCACTATTCTTTTTTTCTTTTTCAGACATCAATGAATGTGAAGATGCAGTGTCAGTTTGTGGTCAATACTCAGACTGTATTAACATCATCGGGAGTCACAAGTGTTCATGCTGGAGTGGATTTAATTCCTCCAATAAAGACAGTCCTGTGAGCCGCAACAACTCATGTCAGGGTGAGTATTTTCAACTGATTTTGTTTTCTATTTTTATCTCATAAAATTGAGAGTGCAGGGCTGCTATATCTTTACAGTTTGTGTGAATACTAGTGTGAGTTTTAGCTGTTCCTGTCAAATGTATTACATCACCCAACAATTTTTTTTTATATATATTTTCCCGTCTAGGAAATATAATGTGAATAATTTTGTTTAAATACACAAAGTCTTTCATGTCTTTAGCCTCTTTGCCTTATTTAATACAGTAAAATAATATATATATATATATTTTTATTTGTCAAATTTTTCCCCCATAGATATAGACGAATGTCTGGTCAGTCCATCTGTATGTGGTCCAGATTCCAGCTGCACAAATGAAATAGGAAGTTACAATTGCTCATGTTTGAATGGATTCACTGTAACAAACTCAAATCTCACCATCAGCATCAATAACCCGTGTAGAGGTAAATCCTATAATTACATTTATTTATAGTCTAAGTTTGAAAAATAATCTTTTGTAATTTTTTAGACATTTAATTTTTCAGTGAAATTATTTTTAACAGTTTGTTGTTTATTTAACAGTTGAACAGCATTTTTTTCAACTGTTGCATACACAATTGTATGCATCCTCTATTTATAAAGTAATAAAAACATAGGAAAATATAGATATGTGTTAAAGTGATATTCATATTTCAGTGTTACTAATAAAAACAATACCCTTTTCATATCTTCCTGTAATATAGATGTCAATGAATGTCTAAATACATTAGAGGTCTGTGGTCCAAACTCTCGTTGCAACAACTCATTTGGGATTTACAACTGTTCCTGCTTGATTGGGTTTACTGTAACAAATATGAATCAACCAATCAGCACCAGTAACCCATGCAATGGTAAGCATGTAGAAAATATACTTCATCATGATGTATTTAATTTACATTGTAAGTAGATTTGACAGAAATATCAATTAAATCTATTATATGGTTTGGTGTTTGTTTATGTTATTTATGTTTTCAGCCTTGATAAAAGCTGCTGAAATACATAATCGAGTTAAAAACTATTGAATGAAATCCTGAATGGTTGAAAAATCTGTAAAGTGTTTCCTTTGTGGACTTTGATTATTGTATTTGTAGATGGAAGGTGTAGTCATAATTTCTGGATGTTTTTATCTTTTTTTCTACAGTGACTCTACCTTTGACTGAATATCTGATTGAAATTCAGATCAATAGTGTGGATAGTAGCGTCACTGATCAGCTGAGGACTCTTCTGATGTCTTTTAATTTGCCCTACATAATCAGTGACAGCACTAACATTACAGAAATCAGCATAACTACTGGTACGAGCTCTGTCTCTGCTTTGTAATGTTAAATAGCTGAGAATAAACTTTATACATCACGAGTACTGACATACATTATTTGATGTTTGGACTCTTCTTTTGCTTTTCAGTGTGTTCATTGAACCAAACGCAGTATCAGTGTAAATGTGAGGGTCTGTTTGTTTGGCCAAATGACACGTGCCACTCATACGAGGCCTGTGATGACATCACTAATGGTTCATGTACATGTATCAATGCCCTTCCAGTGGATGGACAGTTCTGTCAAGGTGAGACACTGGCGTCATTCTACGACAACATCAGTTTTATCCCTTTAATCAATTTTGATTTTTCCTGCTTTGATTTTACTGCATTTTGCTACTAGGATTAACAAACTGATTATGTGCTTGTTTTTGTTTGCAAATAACTCTGTGTAAGACACATGGTCTATTGTATGGAGTTTACAACAAATTGACGTTCTTTTAAATTATAAAGCTTAGACTACAAAGAACATCATTAAAAAACTGATAGTTTTGTTATTTTAGAAATGTAATTGCATGAATTGTTCGGCTCAACCTGCTTCTGTTTGTTCTTGCAGTGCTGCCTTCTAAGTACATGATTGATATTGATGTGAGATTCTTTGACTTGTTCCTGGTGAACTACTTAAGAAGTCTAATCATGAACATCAGCCTGCCTTTGACTCTGAGCAACAGCATAAATATCACAGATATCGACATGACTACTGGTGAGAGCTGAATGTTTCATCACGTCACATACTAAGATGAGTTCAGTATCAGGACAAATTGACAGTTTGAGCGCAGATGAATAAATCCTATTCTCTTACAGTGTGTGGGTTAAATGGAACACAATATGAGTGCAAGTGTGAGGAGCGTCATGTTTGGCCCAATGACACCTGCAGGGCCTATCATGAGTGTGATGAGATTGTGGGGGGCACTTGTGGATGTATTCAAGCTCTCCCTTCAGAGGGTCCGCTTTGCCAGAGAGGTGAGAAATCACATTAGATCACAATTGATTTTACTCAGTGACATTTGACATGTTTTGGTGGTTTATAAAATTGTAACATTTATGCAATAGCTTCTCACTATTCTTTTTTTCTTTTTCAGACATCAATGAATGTGAAGATGCAGTGTCAGTTTGTGGTCAATACTCAGACTGTATTAACATCATCGGGAGTCACAAGTGTTTATGCTGGAGTGGATTTAATTCCTCCAATAAAGACAGTCCTGTGAGCCGCAACAACTCATGTCAGGGTGAGTATTTTCAACTGATTTTGTTTTCTATTTTTTATCTCATAAAATTGAGAGTGCAGAGCTGCTATATCTTTAAAGTTTGTGTGAATACTAGTGTGAGTTTTAGCTGTTCCTGTTTAATGTATTACATCACCCAACAATTTTTTTATATATATATTTTCCCGTCTAGGAAATATAATGTGAATAATTTTGTTTAAATACACAAAGTCTTTCATGTCTTTAGCCTCTTTGCCTTATTTAATACAGTAAAAATAATATATATATATTTTTTATTTGTCAAATTTTTCCCCCATAGATATAGACGAATGTCTGGTCAGTCCATCTGTATGTGGTCCAGATTCCAGCTGCACAAATGAAATAGGAAGTTACAATTGCTCATGTTTGAATGGATTCACTGTAACAAACTCAAATCTCACCATCAGCATCAATAACCCGTGTAGAGGTAAATCCTATAATTACATTTATTTATAGTCTAAGTTTGAAAAATAATCTAATGTAATTTTTTAGACATTTAATTTTTCAGTGAAATTCTATTTGTATGTTTATTTTTTTCTACTGTTGCAACACAATTGTTTGCATCCTCTGTAAAAACATAAGAAAATATAGATTTGTGTTAAAGTGATATTCATATTTCTGTGTTCCTAATAAAAACAATACCCTTTTCATATCTTCCTGTAATATAGATGTCAATGAATGTCTAAATACATTAGAGGTCTGTGGTCCAAACTCTCGTTGCAACAACTCATTTGGGAGTTACAACTGTTCCTGCTTGATTGGGTTTACTGTAACAAATATGAATCAACCAATCAGCACCAGTAACCCATGCAATGGTAAGCATGTAGAAAATATACTTCATCATGATGTATTTAATTTACATTGTAAGTAGATTTGACAGAAATATCAATTAAATCTATTATATAGTTTGGTGTTTGTTTATGTTATTTATGTTTTCAGCCTTGATAAAAGCTGCTGAAATACATAATCGAGTTAAAAACTATTGAATGAAATCCTGAATGGTTGAAAAATCTGTAAAGTGTTTCCTTTGTGGACTTTGATTATTGTATTTGTAGATGGAAGGTGTAGTCATAATTTCTGGATGTTTTTATCTCTTTTTTCTACAGTGACTCTACCTTTGACTGAATATCTGATTGAAATTCAGATCAATAGTGTGGATAGTAGCGTCACTGATCAGCTGAGGACTCTTCTGATGTCTTTTAATTTGCCCTACATAATCAGTGACAGCACTAACATTACAGAAATCAGCATAACTACTGGTACGAGCTCTGTCTCTGCTTTGTAATGTTAAATAGCTGAGAATAAACTTTATACATCACGAGTACTGACATACATTATTTGATGTTTGGACTCTTCTTTTGCTTTTCAGTGTGTTCATTGAACCAAACGCAGTATCAGTGTAAATGTGAGGGTCTGTTTGTTTGGCCAAATGACACGTGTCACTCATACGAGGCCTGTGATGACATCACTAATGGTTCATGTACATGTATCAATGCCCTTCCAGTGGATGGACAGTTCTGTCAAGGTGAGACACTGGCGTCATTCTACGACAACATCAGTTTTATCCCTTTAATCAATTTTGATTTTTCCTGCTTTGATTTTACTGCATTTTGCTACTAGGATTAACAAACTGATTATGTGCTTGTTTTTGTTTGCAAATAACTCTGTGTAAGACACATGGTCTATTGTATGGTGTTCTGTCATGAAGATATTAACAACAAATTGACGTTCTTTTAAATTATAAAGCTTAGACTACAAAGAACATCATTAAAAAACTGATAGTTTTGTTATTTTAGAAATGTAATTGCATGAATTGTTCGGCTCAACCTGCTTCTGTTTGTTCTTGCAGTGCTGCCTTCTAAGTACATGATTGACATTGATGTGAGATTCTTTGACTTGTTCCTGGTGAACTACTTAAGAAGTCTAATCATGAACATCAGCCTGCCTTTGACTCTGAGCAACAGCATAAATATCACAGATATCGACATGACTACTGGTGAGAGCTGAATGTTTCATCACGTCACATACTAAGATGAGTTCAGTATCAGGACAAATTGACAGTTTGAGCGCAGATGAATAAATCCTATTCTCTTACAGTGTGTGGGTTAAATGGAACACAATATGAGTGCAAGTGTGAGGAGCGTCATGTTTGGCCCAATGACACCTGCAGGGCCTATCATGAGTGTGATGAGATTGTGGGGGGCACTTGTGGATGTATTCAAGCTCTCCCTTCAGAGGGTCCGCTTTGCCAGAGAGGTGAGAAATCACATTAGATCACAATTGATTTTACTCAGTGACATTTGACATGTTTTGGTGGTTTATAAAATTGTAACATTTATGCAATAGCTTCTCACTATTCTTTTTTTCTTTTTCAGACATCAATGAATGTGAAGATGCAGTGTCAGTTTGTGGTCAATACTCAGACTGTATTAACATCATCGGGAGTCACAAGTGTTTATGCTGGAGTGGATTTAATTCCTCCAATAAAGACAGTCCTGTGAGCCGCAACAACTCATGTCAGGGTGAGTATTTTCAACTGATTTTGTTTTCTATTTTTATCTCATAAAATTGAGAGTGCAGAGCTGCTATATCTTTAAAGTTTGTGTGAATACTAGTGTGAGTTTTAGCTGTTCCTGTTTAATGTATTACATCACCCAACAATTTTTTTATATATATATTTTCCCGTCTAGGAAATATAATGTGAATAATTTTGTTTAAATACACAAAGTCTTTCATGTCTTTAGCCTCTTTGCCTTATTTAATACAGTAAAAATAATATATATATATATATATATATATATATATATATATATATATATATATATATATTTATTTGTCAAATTTTTTCCCCCATAGATATAGACGAATGTCTGGTCAGTCCATCTGTATGTGGTCCAGATTCCAGCTGCACAAATGAAATAGGAAGTTACAATTGCTCATGTTTGAATGGATTCACTGTAACAAACTCAAATCTCACCATCAGCATCAATAACCCGTGTAGAGGTAAATCCTATAATTACATTTATTTATTGTCTAATTTTGGAAAATAACCTAATGTAATTATTTAGAGATTTAATTTTTCAGTGAAATTATATTTAACAGTTTGTTGTTTATTTAACAGTCGAACAGCATTTTTTTTTTTCAACTGTTGCATACACAATTGTATGCATCCTCTATTTATAAAGTAATAAAAACATAGGAAAATATAGATTTGTGTTAAAGTGACATTCATATTTCAGTGTTCCTAATAAAAACAATACCCTTTTCATATCTTCCTGTATTATAGATGTCAATGAATGTCTAAATACATTAGAGGTCTGTGGTCCAAACTCTCGTTGCAACAACTCATTTGGGAGTTACAACTGTTCCTGCTTGATTGGGTTTACTGTAACAAATATGAATCAACCAATCAGCACCAGTAACCCATGCAATGGTAAGCATGTAGAAAATATACTTCATCATGATGTATTTAATTTACATTTTAAGTAGATTTGACAGAAATATCAATTAAATCTCTTATATGGTTTGGTGTTTGTTTATGTTATTTATGTTTTCAGCCATGATAAAAGCTGCTGAAATACATAATCAAGTTATTAGAAAATTGTTGAATGAAATCCTGAATGTTTGGAAAATCTGTAAATAGTTTCCTTTGTGAACTTTGATTATTGTATTTGTAGATGGAAGGCGTAGTCATAATTTCTGGATGTTTTTATCTCTTTTTTCTACAGTGACTCTACCTTTGACTGAATATCTGATTGAAATTCAGATCAATAGTGTGGATAGTAGCGTCACTGATCAGCTGAGGACTCTTCTGATGTCTTTTAATTTGCCCTACATAATCAGTGACAGCACTAACATTACAGAAATCAGCATAACTACTGGTACGAGCTCTGTCTCTGCTTTGTAATGTTAAATAGCTGAGAATAAACTTTATACATCACGAGTACTGACATACATTATTTGATGTTTGGACTCTTCTTTTGCTTTTCAGTGTGTTCATTGAACCAAACGCAGTATCAGTGTAAATGTGAGGGTCTGTTTGTTTGGCCAAATGACACGTGTCACTCATACGAGGCCTGTGATGACATCACTAATGGTTCATGTACATGTATCAATGCCCTTCCAGTGGATGGACAGTTCTGTCAAGGTGAGACACTGACGTCATTCTACGACAACATCAGTTTTATCCCTTTAATCAATTTCAGTTTTTCCTGCTTTGATTTTACTGCATTTTGCTACTAGGATTAACAAACTGATTATGTGCTTGTTTTTGTTTGCAAATAACTCTGTATAAGACACATGGTCTATTGTATGGAGTTTTGTCATGAAGATATTAACAACAAATTGACGTTCTTTTAAATTATAAAACTTAGACTACAAAGAATGTCATTAAAAAAATTATATTTTTGTTATTTTAGAAATGTAATTAATTGCATGAATTGTTCGGCTCAACCTGCTTCTGTTTGTTCTTGCAGTGCTGCCTTCTAAGTACATGATTGACATTGATGTGAGATTCTTTGACGTGTTCCTGGTGAACTACTTAAGAAGTCTAATCATGAACATCAGCCTGCCTTTGACTCTGAGCAACAGCATAAATATCACAGATATCGACATGACTACTGGTGAGAGCTGAATGTTTCATCACGTCACATACTAAGATGAGTTCAGTATCAGGACAAATTGACAGTTTGAGCGCAGATGAATAAATCCTATTCTCTTACAGTGTGTGGGTTAAATGGAACACAATATGAGTGCAAGTGTGAGGAGCGTCATGTTTGGCCCAATGACACCTGCAGGGCCTATCATGAGTGTGATGAGATTGTGGGGGGCACTTGTGGATGTATTCAAGCTCTCCCTTCAGAGGGTCCGCTTTGCCAGAGAGGTGAGAAATCACATTAGATCACAATTGATTTTACTCAGTGACACTTGACATGTTTTGGTGGTTTATAAAATTGTAACATTTATGCAATAGCTTCTCACTATTCTTTTTTTCTTTTTCAGACATCAATGAATGTGAAGATGCAGTGTCAGTTTGTGGTCAATACTCAGACTGTATTAACATCATCGGGAGTCACAAGTGTTTATGCTGGAGTGGATTTAATTCCTCAAATAAAGACAGTCCTGTGAGCCGCAACAACTCATGTCAGGGTGAGTATTTTCAACTGATTTTGTTTTCTATTTTTATCTCATAAAATTGAGAGTGCAGAGCTGCTATATCTTTACAGTTTGTGTGAATACTAGTTTGAGTTTTAGCTGTTCCTGTTTAAAGGAGTAGTTCACTTTTAAAAAAACTTTTGCTGATAATTTACTCACCCCCATGTCATCCAAGATGTCCACGTCTTTTTTTCTTCAGTCGAAAAGAAATGAAGGTTCTCTTTCATCATCTCGTGTTCGAGATCCACCTATGGGAAGGGCATCCGTACCTGACCTCTGCAGAAGCATCCAATTGCACCAAGTCTGGCTAGACAGACAGAAGCGCGCGGCCAGTGCCCGATGAGGCCACACCCCTCACCCACGGGCATATAACATCTGGGCGCGCTGCTATTCCTCAGTTGACATTCGCTTCTCGCGACCTCTGCACTGACACAGTTCGGTTGGATTAACGTTACACTGTCCACTTTCGAGTCTACAGGAGGACATATCGCCAGATCAGCCTCCGCCAGACGTGAGTGACAGTCGTTTTTCTTCAGCCTATCCGCTGTGTTTTTTGCATCCGGAGCCGCCGAGCTCTCACTGTCCTTCACCTGCTCCTCCTTACATGGCTGCCCGCCACGTATTTTCCGAGTTCTTCACCGCTGGCCCACCCATGGCTATGTGACCGTCTAAACAGCCGCTTCCCCTGGGAACAGTCCATCACGACGAGCCTGCCCGGCCGCGTGTGGTGCTCTCATCGCCGCTAAGGACCCTCTCGTTCTGCGCGGTCCGCTTGGGCTTAGCACGCTCAAGAAGCTTTGGAGAACCCGGAGAATTGCGGTCATTGTAATTGCTGCCCATGTAGCTTTTTACAAAGCCGGCTTTAGTTGCACTATCCAGCGCACCGTGCTTGGCATTTCTTACTCGGATGGGGGACACGGTGATGATGACGCGCTACCGGGGGACTCCCGGAGCGCCACAGATAAAATATTTGAGCGGTATTCAGCCCAATCCGCATTCCCTGAAGAGGACATCTTCGCGGGAAAACCTCACTCTCGTTGACGAACCGGTACGGTTCCGGCGACGAGGATGACGCGGTCTTTCTAACGTTACCCTAAGCTAGCGCTCACGCGGTTTTGCCTCAGTCGATCCTCCTGGAAGTTTGTGAGCGAGCGGCCGTTCGTCTCAACATTGTGTGGCCAGCTCCATAGAGCGCCACCGACCAGGATAGGAATATTTACGACGGGTAAACGCGGGTACCACCGCCCAGCCTGAGGAAACAACTCTTCAACGTTTTTTCCAGTGTTCGCGAAGCTCTCAAGCGCGCCTAGAGCCTCCCGCTAGACTGTTAACACTGTCTCACGGGCCTTGATGAGTAGGAAGGCGGCCCTGAACGCTAGCAGCCCGCCTGCTGTTCCACCATGGGAGCCTCCAGCCCGCGTTCACGGGCCACGAGCCCTCCGTATTCTCCCGGTCCCGGAACCCTTGTCCGAAAGACACGGGGTCTCCCTCGGACGGTCGGGTAATCCCGTCTCGTGGCTACCAAGCCACAGGGGGGCTGTTGTGAGGGAAAGTACATAAGCAGTGTTACCACACCGCACACACTTGGTTCCCTCACCCAGTTATTAAAGGCTTGCCCCAGTGTTTCCCAACACAAAACACAAACTATTATTAAACGAATCAAATGAATTCGTGCAGATTTTTATATCTGTGTCAACATAGAGAGCAAATCTCTCTGATCCCTTGCATGTCGCCCCGAGTCTACCCTCAAGATGGCGCCATTGCCTCACAAATCAACCAGCTGGGCTCGCACAGCTCAGTTGCGGCTGCAAGCCATGTGTTTCTAGTGCACGTTGTGTGTGTGGAAGGCTTGGTCATTGTGTTTCCCAACACATAACTAAATACACGTTTAAACAAACTATTCTTATATATCCTTAAAAATGGATAGTATTTTCTGCCTGCACTTGAGACTGCCCAGTTCATGTGTTCAGGAGATGTGTGTTTTTCCCCCCAATTTCAAGGGGCTCCTTGTGGGTAAAGTTTAGCACAGTGTACACCACACTATGTTTGCCCAGTTCACGCAGTGTTTGCCCAACACAAAACCACAAACACAAATAATAACGAATCTAACAAATTCGTTTCGGAGGAAAAACCTCTTTCCGCAGAGAGAACCTTCTCACTGCAGAGAGAGGAAACCCCTCCGAACCCCCGCATGTCGCCTCTAGTGTGCCCACGAGATGGCGCCATTGCATCACAAATAATTCTGTTGGTCTCAAGACACAGCTCTGCTCTGTCCCGAGCGGGGACACTCGCGAGTCACGAAGCGGCTTGGCGAACCGTTTCGGCTCCCGAGTGGGTTATGCGTACAATAATGCAGGGTTACAGATTGCAATTCGCAGTAAAACCCTCTCATTTCAACGGCATTCTCTTTTCTCACACGGAAGAGAAAGCTTCTCACATTCTGGAAGAGGAAAATTCATCTCTCTTAAACAAGGGAGCGATTCAGGTGGTACCCCCAATCTGATGAACCAGGGTTTTTATTCCCGGTATTTTCTGGTTCCAAAGAAAGGCGGCTCTCTCCGCCCTATCTTGGACCTTCGAGTGTTGAACAAACATTTGAGGAAATACACCTTCAGAATGCTGACACAGGGCGCTCTCGCCCGTGCCATAAAACAGAACGACTGGTTCACATCAGTCGATCTGAAAGATGCTTTCTTTCACATAAGCATTTATCCTCCGCACAGGAATTTTCTTCGTTTTGCCTACCAGGGCATATGTTGCGAATTCACAGTTCTTCTGTTTGGACTCAGTTTGAGTCCCCGGTCTTTCTGTCTGTGCGCGGAGGCGGGCTTAACGCCTCTGAGAATAACAGGTCTGAGAATCCTGACTTACATAGACGATTGGCTCATCATAGCCGAATCGAAGGAGAAGGTGTTGCAGGACACCGGCCGTGTGCTCGCGCACATCACATCGCTCGGGTTCCAAGTGAACGTGGGCAAGAGCAATCTCACGCCCAGTCAGAATGTCAATTTCCTGGGTTTGGAGTTGAACTCGGTTGCCATGCGAGCGCGTCTCTCTCTAGAGCGCGTTCGCTCTCTATGAGCTGTCTGTCACAGTTCAGAGAAGGGGCGAAAGTGCAATATCGCACATGTCTCAGGATGCAGGGTCTCATGGCTTCATCCACCCAAGTTGTGCCATTAGGACTCCTTAAGATGAGGGCGTTCATGAAATGGGTTTTGTCGCTACATTTCAGCCCGATTCGCGACCTTTGCCGCTCGGTTACAGTGACGCGCGCGCGTGCACTGCAGCCCTGCGCCATTGGAAGAACGCAGACTTTTACGCACGGGGAACCCCTCTCGGGGCGGTTACGATGCGGAAAGTGGTGACGACAGATGCATCCTTAACAGGCTGGGGTGCCACCCAGGAGGGCAAAACGGTGAACGGTCTGTGGCCAAACAGACTACGTTCAGCACATATAAATTATTTAGAGCTTTTTTACCAATTGTAAAGCTCTGAATCATTTTCTGCCTCGCCTGCAGGGACATCATGTGCTGGTACGGTGCGACAATACCACGGCTGTGGCATATATCAACCGTCAGGACAGCTTGCGCTCGTCGAAACTTCACCTCCTAGCTCACAAGCTCTTGGTGTGGAGCAGACGGGTTTTCTTGTCGCTACGCGCGACTCACGTCCCAGGCATTCTGAACGTCGGCGCATATCTGCTGTCAAGGGGAAACCCAATCTACGGGATTGGCGTCTTCATCCGCAGATAGTGGAAATGCTATGGATGAGATTTGGACGGGCGAGCGTAGATCTATTCGCCTCGCGCGGAAACTGCCATTGTCCTATGTTCTTCTCTCTAAGGGACGTGGACGCGCCCCTCGGGGTAGACGCACTGGCCCACCCATGGCCTAGAGTGCTCCTGTATGCTTTTCCTCCCCTGTGCCTGATATTCCCACATTGGCCAGGGTGAGAGAGCAGGGCCTGTCTCTCATTCTGATAGCACCCAGATGGCCCAAAGCACCGTGGCTGGCGGAGATAATCCCTCTGTTATACGCCGAGCCATTGTGCCTTCCCGTTCGCACGGATCTATTATCCCAAGCCAACGGTGAGATTTACCACCCCCAGCCGGACAGGTTGGCTCTCTGGGCCTGGCCCGTGAGAGGACGAACCTGAACGCACTTGGGCTTTCGCCGCGTGTGGTCACCACTATTCAGAATGCCAGGGCCGTCTCTACACGGCCCTTATATGGCTGTAAGTGGCAAGTGTTCGAGGGGTGGTGCGATGGGCGCGGTTTCACATCTTATCAGTGTTCAGTTCCTGATATTTTGTGTTTCCTTCAAGACCTCATGGATAAAGGCAGGTCCTTTTCCACCATTAAGGTCCACTTGGCTGCTATTTCAGCCTGTCATGTGGGTTTTGAGGGCTCGACCGTCGGTCAGCACCCTCTAATCCGTAGATTTATGAAGGGTGCACGCCGCTCTTTGCCAGTCGTCAGGAGAACTGTCCCGGAGTGGGACCTCTCCATGGTGCTGGAAGCTCTGTCTCAACACCCTTTTGAGCCTTTGGATAGTATATCCCTTAAGCTGCTGTCTCTCAAGACAGCTTTGCTTTTGGCCTTGGCATCTGCTAAACGTGTCAGTTAGCTACATGCACTCTCGGTTCATCCTTCGTGCTCTAGTTCTCTCTTAGTGGAGATAAGGTCTTCCTTAAGCCTAACCCGGCCTTCATGCCGAAGTGCTTCCCTGCGTTCACTTCGGAGGTGTTGGAGCTGTCCGCTTTTCACCCTCCACCTTTTTACCTCTCTAGAGGATCAGAGGCTGAACGCTCTGTGTCCAGTCCGTGCCTTACAGGCATATATGACCAGGACGAATGCTTTCCGGAAGAGCGACCAGCTCTTTGTTTCATGGGCTCCCCTCACTTAGGGAGTCCAATTTTGAAGCAACGCCTCTCACATTGGGTTGTGGATGCTATTACCATGGCTTACAAAGCAAAGAGAGTGCAGCCCCCTAGGGGCATCAGAGCTCATTCCACAAGAGGTTTAGCCACCTCTTGGGCTCTGTTTAGGGGAGTGTCACTGCAGGACATCTGCTCCGCTGCCAGTTGGGCTTCTCCTCATACCTTCGTGCGCTACTACCGGCTGGATGTCACCAGTACCTCGGTAGCACATTCGGTTCTAGGGGTCGGGTCGTCTTAGCCCCTCCCTGCTGTAACCCTGTTGGTATATATATACCATTAAGAGTGAATGGGCTGACTGGCCATGTTCATTCCTGTCACCTATCATTTCTTCCCCTTTCGGGTATAGATTATGTCTTGGTGGGTTGGGGTTACTATCTCGCATGTGTCCCATGCGTATTTCATGTCCTGCTTGCCCACATTAGTTAGGTGTGGTTTCACCATCGCAGGCTCATGATTAAGGGACGTGTCAGGCACCGCCTCCCTGAGGTGACCGTCCTTCTCTGGCTTCAGAACCTCACTGTGAGTGTATTGGGCAATCGGGGAGCTGTCCATGTCTCTCCCATAGGTGGATCTCGAACACGAGATGATGAAAGAGAACAATAGGTTACTGTCGTAACCCCGTTCTCTGAAACATCGAGTGGAGAGATCCACCAGCTTTGCCCCGCTTGCCGCACGAGAAGCGAATATACTTACTGAGGAATAGCAGCGCGCCCAGATGTTATATGCCCGTGGGTGAGGGGTGTGGCCTCATCGGGCACTGGCCGCGCGCTTCTGTCTGTCTAGCCAGACTTGGTGCAATTGGATGCTTCTGCAGAGGTCAGGTACGGATGCCCTTCCCATAGGTGGATCTCTCCACTCGATGTTTCAGAGAACCGGGGTTACGACAGTAACCTATTGTTATCACTCCGACTCCGCTAACGGTCGACATTTTTTATTTTTTGAACAAGATAGCAAAGCTGCGCATAGGATTGTGGGTGATTTAAGAGCGCGAAGGCTACACATATGCATCCTTTCCTGTGTATGGGATATTTTCCGAACGAAGGACTCAGTCCTTGGTTGAAATTCTGAGGATCCTCGACATTGGAACAGTCCTTCGACGGACG